CATAGAAATGTCAGCCTCAAAACAAAGGGGGTGAAATAAAATCTAAGTGAGAAGTTTGTGTGAAGTCATCAGGTGACAGGAGGTGTTGGTGGCCTGGTTTTATACTTTTTAGCTGTTGATGTGGTTTGAGCTGTGCTGCTTCTGTTTTGCCTGGTGTGGTTCTGTGTAGCTTAGCAGCCTGGTTCTGCTTAATTCATGTTGCAGACTGCTCTTTATATTTACCTGATATTCACACAGTGTAAGGCATGAGAGCATGACAGGTTGTACGAACTGCCTGAGAGCACACAAGTGACTTCTTGATGCAAATACTGATAATAATAACAGCCATGTAATTTGATGGAAGAGTGATTTAGCTTTGTTGATTGATGTGAATGTCATACATCATTTCCCTTGTGTTACACAAAGCAAAGCCCTATAGTTTTTCAACTTTATTTACTATTTGCCTTCATGATTTCATTAAAAATAATTTCCTCAAAAAAAATACATACAGCAGTTCAATCAGCTATTTCTCTTCTTTCATGTTATTGGACTGTAAAGCAGTTACCCTGCTGTACTAATGCCATGAAATGTTTATGTGCAACAATATGGTAGTAAAGAATTTCCACAAAGATCTGAGAATAACTACATTCTAATAAATGATAAATGACAGGGGGTGGATCTTAATATTTTCTGACTGTGGCTGAAATAGTTGTATCATTCTTTAAATGCTTTATTGCTTTTTCACTTATCAGGAAAACAAGCTTACAGTGTTGAGTTGTGGTTGAGCAGAGAAATATCACAGTGGTCACAGGCTGAGGTGGAGTATCTGATGGTGAGTCCTCAATACAGTGCTGTGATGATAAGTATTTCACTTATATTGCAAAGGTCTGTGAATGAGATCTGGATGAGGAGCTCAATGAATTACATTTTAAAACAAATAACTTTGTAGTTTTTAGTGATTTACTTTCAAGTACTTGCTTCTGTGGTTTGTCTGTTCACGTACAGCTGGTGGGTCAGTTGTAGACAGGTCTGATGTAGTAGAACAAACCATGAATGACTTTATACAGCATTTTATTTTCATCAGTCAGTCAGTATTTATTTCACACACTACCAAACACTACCACACCCAAACAATCCCATCTAAAATGGAGTCTTACTTTTCCTGTTTATGTACGTCAGACAGAGGTTGGGCTCATCAGCTGTTGTTACTGCTTGTGGGCGGCCATTAGTAACTTTGAGAAGCTTTTAAATGACATGAAAACTTGATGTAGCTCTAAATTAAATTAAATCTTGTCCTGAATATGCAGTGTTACTTTTCATAGATCCACAAGAATTTGGAGGATCAATGAAAGACTTGGCTTTTACAGAACCATGTACAAATTTATTGTTTTATTGTTTTGCACAAGATGAATGACAAAGAAATATACTGCTGGAAAATTTATATCATCAGTGTTTATTGTTTAAGTACCATTCCACTGCATTTGTAAGTAGACACTTAACTATAAACCATTTATACTTTTAATTTTTGACGTTGACTATTGGTTTCCATTCTTTCCTGTGCAAAAGGAAAATCAACTAAAAATTTCTGGGAACTTTGCAGTCCCTGCTTAGCAACTTAACCCTTAAGAAACCAGGGCATCCATAGATTGATTTTAAAATCAGCTCCACGTTACCTTACAACAGTCAGTTCTATCATATGTTAAAGAATAGAAACTAAGCAACACATGGAACAGGAAAACAAATACATCCAGATTTGTAAAGCACAGCACCGTAGTTTGAAAAATGCATATTTATGGTTTTAAGTTTTGTATGTTTTTCACCAAAAAGGATAAAACAAACAAAGAAAAGATCCATGATATGGTCATTTAACATAAGGTAAAGACAAAAGTCTCATTGTTCCTCAATTAATCCTACTTCATAATTCTCTTTTGTGACAGGTGTGTGATAATACTAAAATGACTGTACTCGGGACAAAGAAGACGTGCCTCCTCCTCTCCTTCCTCTGTGTTTTACTGCTGTGCCTTTTCAATATATGGCTGAGAGGATTCCAGGTTCTGACCACCATAAAACCCTTTGACATCCTTAACAGCAGCAGCAGCAACAACAGAAACGTGACCATACTGCTGTGGTACTGGCCCAACAACAAACCAATGAGCCTGGAGGGTGACGTGTGCTGGGACCTCTACCGCATCCCTCGCTGTAAACTGGTGAACCAGCACTTTTTGTTCCCCTCAGCTGATGTGGTGGTGTTCCACAACAGAGAGCTGATGGAGGGATCGCAGAAGCTGCCCTTAGACCTTCCACGGCCACAGGGCCAGAGATGGGCCTGGATGTCCTTCGAATCCCCTGCTCACACTGGACACTTGCAGCAGTATGCCAATATCTTCAACATGACCATCAGCTACAGGAGGGATGCTGATATCACAGTACCCTATGGTGAGCTGCTACCAAAGGAGGCTGGAGGACATCTGGAGGAAGATGTCCCTCTGAATAAGAGCACTCTGGTTTGCTGGGTGGTCAGCAACTTCCACAACTATCACAAGAGAACAGCAGTGTACAAAGAGCTCAATGCTGTAGTTCCTGTGAAGGTTTATGGGAAGTGGCCAGGGTCAGCCCTCTCTAATGAAGCACTCTTACCCACAATCTCTCAGTGCTACTTCTATTTAGCTTTTGAGAATTCAATTGCTAAAGATTATATCACAGAGAAGCTGTGGTGGAATTCTTACAAAGGCGGGGCAATACCTGTCGTCTTGGGGCCACCGAACAGTGATTACAAACTGGAAACAACAGTGGAAAGCGCAATTGTTCTCAGGCTGGAGAGAAAGACTATGTAAAATCTGTGTACAGTACAACAATTTACCTCAGCACAAGGTTTACTCAGATCTAGAGGCCTGGGACAAGGATAATACATATAAAGCTTCCATTGGCAAATTGTAAATTGTACCACATTTCTCCCATTTGTGCACACCATGTTCTAATTTTCTGTGTCAGGAACTATTTATTTTTCATTATTGCATAATTTGTGATATATTTTTCATGTTGTTGCTATTCCAACAATTAAAATGAGAAATAAAATAATCAGCAGATTGACAGAAAATAGATGAAATGGTGGTTGAAAATTAGGGACAAAGCCATTTTTATTGCAGAAAATCTAATGAATCACATTCCGGAAACTCAGGGAACTTTGTCCACACAAGGAGGCACATAAACATTTAATAATTCAACCCAGTGCAACAACACTACAAACTACAACCTGAAAACTTCACGTTTCTTTAACACCATATTTATTGGAGACTTTGAGTTGAAATAAAATATCGTAGTGTTTTTCCCCAATACTGGATTCTTCTGATAACAATCACATCAATGATTTTGGACATCTTACCATCAGTAGCAGTTTCTACAGCCTTGTTCATTTGTATAAAAAAATAAATAAATAAAAAATCTAGGATAAGCAGCGTTACTGCCTTGCTGCTAATACATAATAATAACTGGTTGTTATAAATGGTTAATTTAAACTAAAGTACGACTTTCACCTGAACTAAAAAACAGAACTTGAGAGAGCCATAAACAAACCAGAGTTGCTATTATTTGAAAAAAAGTTACTCAGAGCAGAGCAAAATGAAAACTGTAAGTTTCTCTTAGACTGACAGCCATTTGAAAACATTCAGAGGGCAACTGTGGAATTATTGTAAGAACATTTCCTTCTGTGCCTTGTAAATGTTAAATAGACAGAACAGAACTAAAAACTCAATTCCTGTGCCTTGTAAATGTTAGACAGAACAGAACTAAAAACTCAATTTAAAACTAAAAAGCTAAAACTTGCATCAACAAGAAAAGAATGTAACATTTAAAATGATTTGTTGTCATGTAGCAGCACAGCATGGAAAAATCTGCCAAGAGAAGTTGTTTCTACTGGCCAAAAATGAACAAAATAATCTTTTTTACTGGTCATCCTGCAAGTTCAGCAGTGCATCTACACTGATATATCAGGTCTTCAGGAAAGTCTGTAGTCTGGCATGACAATAACTGCCACCTTCTCCCACCTGCTCTGCTTTGCCAGACTTTCACTCATATGAATGGAAGCTTTTATATATTCAACTGAGATACGAACTGGTGACTGTGAAAGAAATATCATACACAACTAAAATTACTGTCACAAAAGCCATTCATGTTTGTGCACAGGCAACTTTCCTAAAATGCAAATGTACATATGTGCTTGTATGGCACATGAGCATGAGTGCATGCTTGTCAGCAGAAGTGGTATTTTGTTTCCATGGAAACAGCATCACTGAAGTTTCAATCATTTCAATCGTGCCTTTCATATATACAACCCTGACACATATTCAGGATGTTCTGCCACTGCACCGTCCCCTACTGTTATTTCCCCTCTAGCCACCAGGTGTCCTTGGACTTTCTTTTCACTGCCGGTCACCTGAATTCCCCCTCACCTGTTTCCACTTCACTCATCAGCCTCTCTGTATATAAACAGGATAACTTTTGTTCTTTCCTTGCCAGATAGTGCTGTTCCCTCAGTTTCACTGTAAACATTTTTCTTTCCAACCTGTCTGTATCTGTGTTTTACCTGCTTGCTACCTCCTGCCTATGTCTGCTCCTTTACCTGTTTACTTGTCTGTTTGAATTACTTATCTGCCTGTTATAGATGAAAGTGTCTTTACTGATTTTGTCTCCTGTGTATCCCTGACTGTCTCTGCCTGCCTGGTGCTTTGAAATTCATTTGTTTGGACTTAAAGTATCCTGTTCACCCCTTTCATTAAATCCTTTATTGCACTTGCCTGTCTTCTTTGTGTCTATGTCTGGGTCCTCAGAGTTCCCTACATGAAACGTGGCATTCACAAACTAGTTGGAAAGTCAGATCAGTTTCTGGGCACTACCTTTGTATGATTCGGAGCGTGCGTGTTTATTTATTCATTTATTTACTTCTCTGTTGTCACAATTTTCAAAAATTCTGGAAAAACTTTTTAATAACAAATTAGATGCATTTATTGACAAACAAAATCTTATCTGATTGCCAATACGGTTTTAGGTCGAAAAGATCGACATCCTTGGCCATTACTGACCTGATGGAGGACATTACAAGTGCTATGGATGAGAAAAAATATACGATGGGGATATTTATTGACCTAAAAAAAGCATTTGATACAATTAATCATGAACTATTAATGGATAAGTTAGAGAAATATGGGATCAGAGGAATAGTTTGGAAATGGATCAGAAGTTATTTGACACAGAGGCGTCAATTTGTGAAGTTGGGTGAATACCAATCGAGTGAGCTGGATATTGTATGTGGAGTGCCTCAGGGTTCTGTTTTGGGACCTAAATTATTTATATTATACATTAACGATATATGTAAGGTTTCTGAAATTGTTAAAGTGGTTTTGTTTGCTGATGATACTACCATTTGGGCATCTGATGAAAACCTACAGCAACTCTCGGTAAGGGTTTCAGAGGAATTTGTGAAGATAAAGAAATGGTGTGATAGTAATTTACTATCTTTGAAATTGGAGAAAACCAAATATATGGTATTTGGGAATCGTAGACCACACAATGAACTTCAATTGAAAATTGGGGGAGCTAACATCGAACGAGTATATGAACTCAAATTTCTGGGTGTCATGGTTGACGACAGATTATCCTGGAAATCTCATATCAGATATGTTCAGCACAAAATAGCAAAGAATATATCGATATTGGCAAGGGTTAGATATATGCTGGACGTGAAAGCACTTCGCATTTTCTATTCTTCATTGATTTTACCATATTTGGAGTATGGCATTGAAAACTGGGGAAACACTTACAAAAGTTCACTTCAACCATTGTACATATTACAAAAAAGAGCGATTAGAATTGTGCACAAGATGGGATATAGGGATCACACAAATGTAGTTTTCATACAGTCTAAATTGTTAAAATTCTTTGATTTAGTGGAATATAAGACCGCGGTGTTTATGTATAAAGCCAGGAACGACTTATTACGTGGTTAAGAGTTATTTGGTGAAAGGGAAGGGGGATATAATTTAAGGGGTCAGTTAAATTTAAAAGTTCATACTATACGTACAACCAAAAAAAGATTTTGTATTTCTATAAGTGGGGTAAAATTATGGAATAATTTAAGTGTGGACATGAAGAACAGTACTAGAATTGAGGAGTTTAAATATAAATATAAATGTATGTGTCATTCAAGATATATGCAAGAATAAGAGATTTAATCAAGAATGCATGAAGGAAACACTCTGTTTTAAATTTACATTACATTACTTGTTTGGTGAAGAAGAGAATTACCTATGTAGAGATACTGCTTGCAGCCAATGATGCATGAAATGTTTTGTATAAGATGATGTGATGGGGTAGGACTGGATAAGTCTGACTTCTTCCTACTCCATTCAAGCATGTACTAGGTATAAGCAAACTGATTCTGGATTAGCATTGGTTGGATTTGTGTAATTATGTGTGTGTTGATGTCATTTGTTCTGCATGTTTGAAAGAATAAATCAAATCAAATCAAAATCAAATAAACACAATTTGAGCAGACTCATTCAAAACATTTTGTTCAATATCATAGCAAAGAATGTTCCTCTGAGGTTCTCCTTTGCACCAATGAAACATTCCTATAATTGTGTTTTCAAAATTGCCATATCTCTACACTGGCCTCATTTCAAAGTACTGAACTTTTTTTTAAGTTAATGAGCAGTTGAGTAACTAGTTGTGTCAACTATGAAAAACCCTGGCCATAATTTTGGGCAAAACAATTTCCCCCACGAATTGCTGAAGAGAGCTAAAGGGAGAACGGATAATGAAACTGCAAGTGGACACAAACAAATGGATAATAATTTTTCTCAACATTTGCTGAACATTTAGAGAGGTAACAGTTTGCTAACGAGGTCACCATATTAAGTTTATAATGAAGATAAATTCTGAACAGAAAAATATGGCCAGTGGGCTACGCTGCACATGGAGTTTCTGAAATGTCAATTGTAGCAGCTGGTAAGTCATTTAGACTCCAGGGAGACTAGTACTAGTGGTTATCATCCTCAGATCTTCTTGCTTGGCTGCATACCATAGTGCACTGTTCTCTACAAATGAGCAGAAAGTTGGCTCAAGGTGATACAACATAAATTATGGTTTTCAGCTGATGAAAAGGTCAGACTTGAACCATAGCGCAGGACAGTGGGAACCTCCATGCAGTTTTCGCACACATTCACAATACACAACTCTCCTTGCACCCTGCTGAGAGAGGGGCACTATACCAACTGTGATGCATCAACAAGACATTGAACACAGCCAAAACTATCAAAACCATCAAAAACAACTGGTTATTAAAGAGATGCTCCAGAAGAGTGGAAGAGGCTAATTTAATGAGTTCCTGGAAAAGACACAGTTGCAACAAGCATCTGCTATTACATTACAAACTTTGTGTGAATGTAAACTTAATTGTGAGAAACAAGTATATGGTGTGGTTTTACCTCCTCTTTGGGATCTGGTTATAACTCACTGTTTCATGAATAAAGAATGGAGGGATTACTTAATTTTTTACAAGCATGCAAATATTTAGCTTGAGAATAAAAAGCAGCTGAAAGCAGTTATTGATTGTGCATGGTCTTGTTTGTGCATAATAAAAGAAAGAAAGAAAAGAAATGGATGCCCAGTGAAATGTGTGCAGCTTGGATTGTCTGCTGTGTCTGCCTTGCACAGAGAGTTGGAGTTCAGTAAAGTATTTAGTCAAGATGATGTGTTCTTTCATAGTTTCCATGCAGATTATTTTTGCTCATAAGAACACATCTTTACACATCTGACAATAGAAGAACAATGCAAATTATCTGACAAATAATCAAACATTTATTTATAAATAGATGCCTGAAATGACCCCAAAACCAGGGCAGACTGGCCTGCACAGAGGTTATATCACAGTCACTGACTGATAGCCAAACTTGATTGTGATTGGATGGTAGGTGTTGGTTAC